ATTAATTGTCAAAATATTAAAAAAATATATTTTTCGTTTACAAAAAATAAAACTATTTCGGGCTATTAAACTTTGTAAAAATGCGCAAAAAAAAATAAAAATGTGTTGTGTGGTAAGAAAATGTGCAAGAAGTGAAATTATCTTCATATTTTCGCGAAAAAGTTTTGAAGTATTGTGAGAGAATTGGATTTTCACCAGTGTGTTGAATTCACACAAAACTTGTCTGTGTGGAGAGGGATATGTTATTGTTGTAAAATGAAAAAAGACAATTTACGTTTTTTTTTTTTATAAAATATTTTTTAAAATAAAAAATTTATTGTAAATTTAAAAAACGAATAAAAATTAATGACAAGTAATTCAAGAAATATTTATGTACATAAAAATAAAGTAAAATAAAATAGTGATTATTTAAAATTTATAAAGTAAAATTTACAACACGCAACTTGGTTAATTTAGAAACGGAATATTACTCGTCTCGATCGTTGAGAGTTGTGTAGTGTTTGATATAGTTAGGCAAAAACATCTTAATGATAGCAAAAACATCTCGAAATCTACGAGTGATCAGTATGATCAGTTCGAACTTTTACGTACAAACAGCCTTTATGCTTTGTAACCATAGTACGGCGCCAGTATTGTTTTGAATGCAAAGATTTTCGGCAATTTACATGTACACAACACAATCGTAAACAAGGGCGTAAAAAATACAAAAATTCTATTTAGTTGCTTCAAAGCCATGGCATAATAAAGTAAGGTGACTGCAATAATGCAGCTGATTATTTTTTATTTTTGTGTAGAGTATGCTTAATGTCAAAAGTTGTTATTGTTTACATGTTATTTGTTTACATTTCTTCTGTCATTTTTGACATTAGTCTGATTCTAGTACAAAAACAAAATTTTGTATTGTTGTAGTGATGCAGTCACCTTTCTAAGTGTGCCCTGCTTCAAAGCATTCATGTTAATGTCGCTTTGTTTCAGAAATTACAAATTATGGAATTTATTACAAATTATGGAATGCATATGAGTGAAAAAATGTTAAAAATATTTTATAGCCATTGATTATTTGTATTTTGTCGATTAATAGTAAACTCTAAATTCTACTAATTGTATTTTATTCTTCTAACAATGTGTTTTGTTTAAATTAACACAAATTCTATAAAATCACTCATAAGTTGTCTCGAAACATTTCGAAACAGATCATACATTATTCCGATTTGTTTTTCATACTAACTCTATTGTCTCTGTTTCTTTTGTATTTGTTTGCTTTTACACTTTTATTGTTGTGTGTAGATGATCAACTGCTTTTTTAACTTCGGCCGCACAGTACAGTATTCATAAAATAAACGAGTGACTTGTAAGTCATTTTTAACGCACTCGTGCAGATGTCTACTATATATCTATACAAATATGATAAAAGAAAAATCAGTGATAACAAATAAATTTCACAAAGAAAATATTTTTGGTGCATATTATCCACATTTTTAGTGCATATTTTCCCATTTTATAGTGCATGTTATAAACGCATATTTTTAATTTTTTAGTGCATGAAAATCCTTGCCTGGTTCATTAACAAATAATGATATAGATACACGGCTGTATTTATAAAAACTTATTTTAGGTTTATTAAACAATTTTAGGCAAAATTCAGGAAAATCGTATTTATAAACGTGAAATAGCTTAAAACACCTTCAATAAACCATTGACAATTAGAAGAATTTTATTGTAGGCTCGACCCTTCTTTAAGCCAACAGTAACTTGATTTTTAACAATTTTTTTCTAGATAAAGATTTTCCGGTAATTTTAGGTTGATTGCGAAAAGTAATTATGGTTTCTTTTAAAATAAAATCTAAAAATTCTAATTTTAACGTTTACAAATTTGTAAATAAAATCCCAGAAAATTTTTAAACGATTATATTTTGAGGAAAAAACTCAAATCTAGGCATTATTGGATTAAAGCATGAATATTTGACAATATTCCAATTGTCCAGCACTATTTTTAGGCAATTTGGAAATGCCCGTCTGTCAACCAAATGATGGACAAAATCATTTGATTTGGCTTTTTCAAAGTTTGTTGGTTAAATATAATGCCATAAAGTAATTTACCATGTAAATTATATTGATTAGTGTTATACTAATGCAAAATATATTCGCCGGCATTAAAATTAGTCAAATATCAAAGAAATTTATCAATATTTGCAAAAATTTATCAAAAATTACAAGGAAAATAAGTAAAAATAAGAAAATGTGTCATAGTGATGTATATTTTGTCGCAAAATATCCGTTATTCGGATACTTTTAATAATAATTAGAAATTATATGTTATATTTATACATCTGAACTAAATAGACATTTATTAAAGCCATATATATATTTATTTTTCTTAAAAGTTTGTTTTTATTGTCAAAAATCTATTATAAACAAAAATATGAAATTAAGAAAACCGAATCAACGAATATTTTATCCTAATTGTACGCAACACTAACACATAAAATGACAGCCATATTGTACAGTGCTGCCAACTTAAACATAAATCAGCACAATAGTTAATATACGTTTATTATTTGTTTATGAATATCACAATTTTATTAATGGTTTTTAAGGCTAAAGTGTGCTTTAACTATTGAGTGCATTAAAAGCAAAATAAGATTTTTTTATAAATACAAGCGACAGAATTTAGCCAAAATTTTGTCTTTTTATACATTAATTATACTGTGGAATTTTAAAACCGTATAACGGGATTAAAAGTTACCAAAATATCATGCGCTCCTTGCTCCATAAGGTGGCTACACATGTCTTTCCCTTATAAGTTCACTTTCCGGAAATCCCTCAGAGAAATCAAAACATTTCTGCCGGAAATCGATTGAAAAGTGTAAAATTGGGAAAACAATAGGACTTTTTGATTTCTTCAAAAATTGTACAATTAAAATAACTTTTCTTAACATTTCGTCCACTTCGACCAAATCCTTAGAGAAATCAAGAAATTTCTCAGTTTTTTTCAAAAATTCATTAAAAATCCCACTAATTCAATTAGGGAATTCTATATACGGAGTATGATAACTAAGACCCTTGTACATTTTTCCCAAATGAGGGTTATATATGCCTCTCCCTTATATGTCCACTTTGACTAAATCCCTTAGAGAAATCAAGAAATTTCTCAAAAAATTTTTTTTCAAAAATTCTTTAGAAATCTCACAAATTCAATTTGGGATGTAATAAATTAGACCCTTGTACATATTTCTCATATGGTGGGTATACATGCCTCTCCCTTATGTGCCCACTTTTACCAAATCCCTTAGAGAAATCAAGAAATTTTTCCAAGAATTTTTTTAAAAAATTCGTTAAAAATCCCACAAATTCAATTCGGGAATTTTATATACGGTATGCTTAGTTGCCAGATGATTTGGGTGTAAAATCGTCAAATTTCGAGGAAAAAATCGTCAATCGTCATTAAATCGTCAAAGCTATTTTCCATCTATATAATATACATGATGTTTGATGGTATTTTTACGATTTTATAGTAATTATTTTAACTATCGAAAATTTTTTATCAATTTCGATAGATTTTAGTTTTGCTTGTTTATTTGTTTGAGTTTGCTTAGCTGCATCTGCAGCTAAGACTTCTTGGCCGAATCGAAAGATTATAACTCCAACACCAATTATTCTAGTACGACTGGATAGAATATTGAATTAAGTGTTTTTTAGTTCTCTACCATAATCAAAATTAAGACTTAGGTTAAGTTAACTCAAATGCATATGGGCAACATGCACTTCAAAAAACCGTAACTCGGTACAGTTATTCGACGTCACACATTTGACAAATGCGGTTCGAAACGAAAAACTCGAAGGCAGAGCAAGAAAGGACGGCCTGATTTCCCTCCACCCAGAGCAGGATTACGAATGCATTTGTTTATTATCTCTTTAATTCTGCAAATATGATTTGAAATACTTTACATTGAGTTCTTGCAAACTAACTTGGTATGATCTCTAGTAAATGTATGTATATTAGATGTTTCAATTATTTGTATGCAAAACAAATTTCCTCCTTTAAATCAAACGTCCAAAAACACTACTCGGTCTATCAATTATTCTAGATCCAATAATCCCAAAGTGCTGGCCAAAAAAAAAGAGAAATTCTCAAAAAGTTTTGCGTTCGTTATTCCGTAAATCATTTGATCAATGGAAATACTCTAAAACATTATAATGTTTAATTTTATTAATATTTTCATTTCATATTCTAAATACATACATCAACTTACTTAAGAATTATAGATAGAAAAATGATAAAATGTATTAAAATTAGTACAAAAATCCTATTTTAAAAAATCGTAAAATTTAGAGTTAAAATCGTCAACAGGCCGTTTTTGACAGTGAAAATCGTCAAATCTGGCAACAGTGACGGTATGATATAACTAACACCCTTGTACATTGTTTCCATAAGGTGGCTATACATGCCTCTCCCACCCTTAGAGAAATCAAGAAAATTCTCCAAGAATTTTTTTTAAAAATTTATTAGAAAAATCAAATTATTAGGGAAATCAAGAAATTTCTCCAAGATTATTTTTTTTTTAATTTTGTTAAAAATCACACAAATTCAATTCGGGAGTTCCATTAATGGGATATGATAACCTTTAGCCTTACACACTTTTTCCATATGGTGGTTGTACGTGGCTCTCCACTATATTTTCTTCACTTCTTCACACATAATTTTCTTCACTTTTTAAAATTTTTTATAACTTTTGCGATTTTTTCTTAATGTAAACAAACAGGAATTTTGACAGATAAGATTGTAACAGCTGATGATCAGCTGTGTGGACGAGGCTACCTTATTAAGTGTACACTGTATTTTACTAAGAATATTTATCTTCACACACATTGAAAATTATACCAAAATACGAAAAAAATGTGACCACTTAAACCTAAATGCAATTAGCAATACAAACCTTTAAATTTCTTAAATCATTGCATACATTTTTTATGTTGTTTAAAAAAAACACTTTTTCATATTTTAATTTTTTTTGTAAAATTATTTTATTCTTGTTTATTTTTTAGGGTTAACACCAAACACCTTATTACTTCATGAACAAATATTTAAAATTTCAGAAATGAAACATGTAGACAATAATGTTATGTTACGAAAATTACCATACAAAAAATGGGCTTTCGAAATATTTGAAAACATTTTTTCTGGCTAGATTAAAATTTCATCATAGTACCAAAACAAAATTGCTTTTGAAATATATTAAAAAATACTTTTTTCTGGCTAGATCGAAATTTGGAACACCGAACAGTGTTGCTAAATACCAATCTGTCTGGAAAAAAGTCACAACTATTTTTGGAAATATTCAATGCATGAAATTTTGAAATTTAATATATTATTTTACTCGACCCATGGGTCGCAGTTTCAATTATTGTATGATGTTGAAGCTTTTCAAAGACATTCCAAGAAATATATGTTACCAAATTTTTTTGGTTCTCCAGTCTAGACTTTCGTTAATAAATTCATTCTCCGATGAATCTTCATCAGAATCTCCTAGCTCAATCTTTCGCTTTTCCTTCTTGTTGATTTTATTCAATTTATTTTCCAAATCTATAACTTTGGACCATTGATATATTTGTTCGCTGATTTCGGTAATTTCTCTTTCAACAGCTGCATTTATCTGTTCTCCAGATATTAATTTATTAGATGTCATTGATTCTTCTTTAATTTCACGCTGAAATTTTTCCCATTCATCATCTTGACCATTTTTATATTCTACATTTCGAACTTTTGCATCCACAATTGGGTCGTCAAAAAACAATTCTGGCAATAAATCTGAAGACTCTATCAAAACGGTAGTACTCAATTTGCTGATGAGAATTTCTTTCTTATTAGTAGTTACAGTATCTTCCGGTAATTTTTTTAAATGTAAAGGGGTATTTGATTCTTTCTTCCGACTTTGTTTCTTCTCTAAAGGTTTATCCAAAACTTGTTTACACATAATTTTCTTTGCTTCTTCGAGATTCGTTTTATGTAGCTTCGAGTGTACATGAACCTTCCAAATAGCCACCGATTTAATAATGCTTTTGCATATAATACAAATCAGATTTCCTTTAGAATCATACGTAAAAAAATAGTTAAAAAAACCAATTTTAATTGTTAATGCTTTAAAATACTACTACGTAATAAGTAGTACTTATATATATAAAGATTTATTTATTTATAATATATACTTAATCAATTTATAATTAATTAATTTAAAAACAGTTATGTATCTAGAAAATGTAAACTCAAAAACTCTCCATGTTAGAGTTCGTTTGAAACTGTTAAACTTATGTGCTGTTTCTAGATACCGATCGAGCAGTTTGAGCACAAATTTTACTTGTATTTTGTTATTGTAACAAAAACAAAATACAAGTAAAATTTTAACTCAAACTACTCACACGTTATCTAGAAACAACACATTAATTTTTTGTTATACTTAATCATCATAAAATAAAACTCATTTAAGGAATTTTATTTTTTCCGTCATTAAATGAATCTCATTTAAGGAGTTTCATTGTTTACGTCAGAAAATGAAACTCTTTAAATTGTTATTGTTTTATTTTGTGTATCTTTATGCAGTCGGAATTGATTTTTTCTATTTTTTTATGACGATTATGATTATGTTAAAAATGTTGATTATTTTAAATTCTTAATTCAGAAATATTTTATCAATTTGGTGACAAAAACGGTAGAGAGATTTACGCAGAGGGATTTTATGCAGAATATCATCATCATATTAGTGTTTATAAGTGAATTTTGACCATAGCAATTTTCTTGCTTTTTTTTCAAAAATTCGTTTAAAATCCCACAAATTCAATTCGGAAATTCCGTAAACGGAATGTGATAACTAGGACCCTTGTACACTTTTTCCATATGGTGGTTGTACATGCCTCTCCTTTAAATGCCCACTTTGACTAAATTCCTAAGAGAAATCAAGAAATTTATCCATTTTTTTTTAGAAAATTCGTTAAAAATCCCACAAATTCAATTCGGGAATTCTATATACGGGATGTGATAACTAGGACCCTTATACATAGTTTCCATATGGTGAATATACATGCCTCTCCCTTATATGTCTAATATTGTTTTTATATGGTAGCTATACATGCCTCTCCCTTATATGCCCACTTTGACCAAATCCCTTAGAGAAATCAAAAAATTTCTCAAAGTTTATTTTTTAAAAATTCCTTAAAAATCCCACAAATTCAATTCGGAAATTCCGTAAACGGAATGTGATAACTAGGACCATTGTACATTGATTCCATATGGTGGTTATATATGCCTCTCCCTAATATGCCCACTTTGACCAAATCCCTTAGAGAAATCAAGAAATTTCTGTTAATTTTTTAAAAATTCCTTAAAAATCCCACAAATTCGATTCGGAAATTCCGTAAACGGAATGTGATAACTAGGACCCTTGTACTTTTTTCCATATGGTGGTTATATATGCCTCTCCCTTATATGTCCACTTTGAACAAATCCCTTAGAGAAATCAAGAAATTTCTGTTAATTTTTTAAAAATTCCTTAAAAATCCCACAAATTCGATTCGGAAATTCCGTAAACGGAATGTGATAACTAGGACCCTTGTACTTTTTTCCATATGGTGGTTATATATGCCTCTCCCTTATATGTCCACTTTGAACAAATCCCTTAGAGAAATCAAGAAATTTCTGAAAGTTTATTTTTTAAAAATTCGTTAAAAATCCCACAAATTCAATTCGGGAATTCTATATGCGGGATATAATAACTATCACCCTAGCTTAAACTATAAAATTTTTAATCCGGGGGTTCTGTATTTAGGTCCAAACCAAGAAATTGGGCTACTTCAATAGGGTTAGTCCATAAATCTATTGGGCTAAGTGAAGTAGGCTGGGCTGGACAGTTGAATATGTGGTGGGTATAGGGTTGCCAGATTCCGATTCGCAGAAAGCTGGACATCGGGTTTTAAAAAGCTGGACAAAACAAAAAAAGCTGGACATAAAAAATACTGAGAAAATGTTAATTTTGGTTTTGTGTAAATAATTTCACAGTGATACACCAAAAAAATGCAGAGGTTCTCATATACCAATTCTGTTTTGTTATAGTCCATATATTACGAATATATTTTTAGTTTTCCCCGATCACTTCGTTAACTTAGCGTTTAAGAGCAAAAGATGTGAAAAAGCTCCATTTTTGAAGTTTTAAATTTTAACAAGTAAGAGTGTTATATTCGGCTATGCCGAATCTTATATACCCACCATCACACCTCGTTTGACTCGAATGAAACTTACTTATGTCGAATTTCATCTATATACTCGTATATTTAGGCCAGTTATAAGCGTAGGGGTAGGGTCAATCATGGACCGATCCTCATAAATTTGTTTAGATAGATTTTGACTCGTATGAAATTTACTTATGTTGAATTTCATCTATATACTAGTATTTTTAAGCCAGTAATGAGCGTTAAAGTCATTTTCTGAAGGGGACCTTATATGGGGGGTAGGGTCAATTATAGACCGATCCTCATAAAATTTTGAATAGTGATTTTGGATCATAAGGAACTTACTTATGTCGAACTTCATCGCTATATTTGTATTTTTAAACAAGATATGGCTGTTAAAGCTGCTTTTCGAGGGGCCACTTGTATGGGGGCTATCCGAAAATGTGGACCGATATTGCCCATTTTCAATACCAAACAAACCTTACCTATAAAAAATATCTATGTGAAATTTCAACCCTCTAGCTCTTTCCATTCGGACTCTATCGTGCTTTCAACAGACAGACAGACGGACAGACATGGCTAGATCGTCTTAGAATTTAATGAGGACCCAGAATATATATATGTATCGAAATATGACCAATATTTCGATGTGTTACAAACGGAATGACAAAATCAATATACCCCCCATCTTTTTTGATGGTGGGTATAAAAATATGTCTTTTCGCGTACTTTCCTGTAAGAAATATCCAGTAACTTTATGATAGAGAGTAATTTTTAATTTACTCTCAATCAAAAAAATATCCAAAAAAGTACTCGAAAGCCAATTTAAAAAAAAAATGTGCAAGTTTTTTTTTATAAACAAAATCTCAATCGCTAACGAAACACTAAAATAATTGAAACTTTGATTTTTCCTATAAATAAATAGATATTTAAAGTTAACAAAACATGCAGTATCATTAAAAATATATTATTGTTTTAAAACTTTATGATACAAACATATTATTAAAATAAAAATTTACACAAAATCGCAAAGAGAAAGACTAACTAAATTGTTTTAAAAACGCTAGATTTACAATATTTGTTATGATTTTTCACAACAAATAAACTCTTTTAAAAACTAATTTATGATAAATAAAATTTAAATAAATCTAATTACAAATAATTTTTTTAATATTCGTGTTTGTATATTTCTTTAAAAAAAATTAAAATTTCTTTGGTTTGTTTACATATTCATAAATCAAACATATCGCACACCCAGTACAAAAGAGACACAACTCAAAAATTTTTTTTTAAGAAAAGGAAACAAATTTTTTACAAATTCTGAAAGATAAATAAAGACATAACGTTTTTTTTTCTTGAACAGTTAACAACAACAAAATACACTATTATTTTTGTAGAGTTAAACAAGTATCTTGTGTATAGTTTAAGGCTTAAACTTAGGGCTTAAAGAATATAAAAACGCAAAAATAAAATTTTGAGTTGTGTCACTTTTGTACTAGGTGTGCGATATGTTGTGAATATAAGTTGGATATTTTTTGCTGGGGAAAAAATATCTAGTAAAATGAAAAATTCTCTAACAACGAACTGTAATTTTTATCGCTCTCTTATGACGATTATGATTATGTTAAAAATGTTGATTATTTTAAATTCTTAATTCAGAAATATTTTATCAATTTGGTGACAAAAACGGTAGAGAGATTTACGCAGAGGGATTTTATGCAGAATATCATCATCATATTAGTGTTTATAAGTGAATTTTGACCATAGCAATTTTCTTGCTTTTTTTTCAAAAATTCGTTTAAAATCCCACAAATTCAATTCGGAAATTCCGTAAACGGAATGTGATAACTAGGACCCTTGTACACTTTTTCCATATGGTGGTTGTACATGCCTCTCCTTTAAATGCCCACTTTGACTAAATTCCTAAGAGAAATCAAGAAATTTATCCATTTTTTTTAGAAAATTCGTTAAAAATCCCACAAATTCAATTCGGGAATTCTATATACGGGATGTGATAACTAGGACCCTTATACATAGTTTCCATATGGTGAATATACATGCCTCTCCCTTATATGTCTAATATTGTTTTTATATGGTAGCTATACATGCCTCTCCCTTATATGCCCACTTTGACCAAATCCCTTAGAGAAATCAAAAAATTTCTCAAAGTTTATTTTTTAAAAATTCCTTAAAAATCCCACAAATTCAATTCGGAAATTCCGTAAACGGAATGTGATAACTAGGACCATTGTACATTGATTCCATATGGTGGTTATATATGCCTCTCCCTAATATGCCCACTTTGACCAAATCCCTTAGAGAAATCAAGAAATTTCTGTTAATTTTTTAAAAATTCCTTAAAAATCCCACAAATTCGATTCGGAAATTCCGTAAACGGAATGTGATAACTAGGACCCTTGTACTTTTTTCCATATGGTGGTTATATATGCCTCTCCCTTATATGTCCACTTTGAACAAATCCCTTAGAGAAATCAAGAAATTTCTGAAAGTTTATTTTTTAAAAATTCGTTAAAAATCCCACAAATTCAATTCGAGAATTCTATATGCGGGATATAATAACTATCACCCTAGCTTAAACTATAAAATTTTTAATCCGGGGGTTCTGTATTTAGGTCCAAACCAAGAAATTGGGCTACTTCAATAGGGTTAGTCCATAAATCTATTGGGCTAAGTGAAGTAGGGTGGGCTGGACAGTTGAATATGTGGTGGGTATAGGGTTGCCAGATTCCGATTCGCAGAAAGCTGGACATCGGGTTTTAAAAAGCTGGACAAAACAAAAAAAGCTGGACATAAAAAATACTGAGAAAATGTTAATTTTGGTTTTGTGTAAATAATTTCACAGTGATACACCAAAAAAATGCAGAGGTTCTCATA